GGTTTCACCATGTTGACCAGGATGGTCTCGATCTCTTGACCTCGTGATCCACCCGCCTCGGCCTCCCACAGTGCTGGGATTACAGGCTTGAGCCACCGCGCCCGGCCCAGAAGCGCTCTTTTTAAAGTGCTCTCTCTTCCAGCTATTAAAGAGCCCTCCTTTGCCTGCTTTTGGTCCGTGGTATCCAGTTTAGTTCGTTTGGTCAGCTGTCAGGTCCTTGTACGCCCAGACCCTCCTGGCGTTGGTCCAGATTTTGCACATGCTGTTCTTTCTGCCTGGGGCACAACTCCTTTTCCTCTAATTAATCCACATTCAGCTTCCGATTCTTAGTTCTCAGGACGCTTTTTGCAGGAAGCCCTCCCTGACTACTCCCAGCCTAGGTGGACCTCCCAGTTGCTGTAAGCTCTCATTAACCCAGGTCTTCTCCTTCAAAGCCTCAAGCACTGGGATTACAGGGCTTATGTTTGGAATTACGCAATTGGAATCATGTTTAGAATCACCTCTTCCTTGTAGAATCCCAGACTTTTTTTTCTTTTTTGAGATGAAGTCTCATTCCATCACCCAGGCTGGAGGGCAGTGGCGCGATCTCAGCTCACTGCAACCTCCACCACCCGGGTTCAAGCAATTCTCCTGCCTCAGCCTCCCGAGTAGCTGGGATTACAGGTGCCCACCACTACACCCAGGTAATTTTTGTATTTTAGTAGAGATGGGGTTTTGCCATGTTGGCCAGGCTGGTCTCGAATTCCTGACCTCAAGTGATCCACCTGCCTTGACCTCCCAAAGTGCTAAGGATTATAGACTTGTTTACCACCTGCCCCTCCCACCGTGCCTGGCAGAGCAGGCCCTCCTGCAGCTGTGCCGAACACTGTGCCGGCATCATCTCACTCATTCAGACTTCAGCAGAGACCCAGAAGGTTGGCACAATTGTTTCCACTTCACAGATGAGAGAGCTGAGGCAGAGAGGCAAAGCGGCTTGTCCAGGAGCACACAGCCCACCACTGAGAAGTGGCTCCAAACTCAGCTCTGCCTGAAAGTGACCAGCTGAAGCTACTGAGGAAACTGCCCAACTGAGCCGGGACAGCCCCCATTTCCTGCCCTCTCCCCATCATCCTGCTGTCCTCCTCCCTGTCCTTGGGGTCAGCCAGGAAGGATGCTGGAAGACACTCCCTGCCAGCAGAGTGACTCAGCAAGGCGGCTCCTCCAAATCTGCTCTCCAAAATCACATCCTTGTGAAGTTGGCCTTGCTCCACCCTCCCTGAGCTGCACAGCCCTCCCCCAGGCCCCTCAGGACCCCTCTCCAGCTCTCTGCTGGAGAGAGGCAGAGTAAGGAGGATTGCTCTTCTTCTGGTGGAGTTGGGGGGACTTCACTGTCCTTCCAGTCCCTCCCACCCTCTTTCCTGTATCACTAACTCAGTGCCAGGAAACCCAGAGAGGTGCACACAGGGGTCAGGCTGGACAGGAAAGGGTAACAGGCTCAATGCCTTGGGATTCTTATAAAAACTTACATCAGATCACATCCTCCTGTGCTCTAAAGCCTCCCATGGCTCCCACCTTCCTCCCACTGACAGCCAAGTCTGCAGTAGCCTCCAGGGCCTGATCTGGCCCCTGTTCTCGCCTGCCTGGTCTCCCTTCCTTCTCTCTGGCTCACTGTTCTAGCCACTCTTCGAAATCTGTCATTATTCTCCTGCCCCAGGGCCTTTGCATCTACTGATCCCTCTCTTCCCCTGGATCCTCATCAGCCATTCTCAGGTCTCAGTCAAAATGTCATGTCCTCAGAGAGGCCTTCCATGATAGCCTAAGCAAAGCAGCCGCCCCCTCCTCACCCTGTGGAATGATTTGTCGACCTGCTTCTCACCCATGACCTCACTAGAGTATAAGCTCCAGGAGGGCAAGGACCAGGTCTCTCTGCTCCCTGCTATCCCCCCAGCACGTGGCACAGGCCCTGGCACATAGTAGGTGCTCAATAAATATTTGTTGCATTAATGACTCCTTGAAAAGGACCTAAGGTAAGGGGTTGGGGGGGCCTTTCCCAGCCTGCAGGCTCCCTGGGTGGTGGGGACTTCCAAATATTCAGCCACCCCACCTGTCCTGGGAGGCAGTGGACAAGAGGGGAAGGGGGTGGATTTAGCATGAAGCAGCCAAGAGGTCTCAGCCTGGCTCTGCCACTCTTTTCCTGGCCATCCTTACCTCCCTGAACCTCGGAGTCTTCATCTATAGCACAGAGATAATCACGCCCACCTCACCGGGTTTGGGGAGGACTTGTGAGCACAGTGCTGACCTAAGTGCTCAATCACTTGGAGAGATTATCTGGCACAATTATATGGTATGACCTCCTACTTTTCCTGCCCCCACGGAGCACGCTCCAAGAGGCAGCACTCAATTTTATAAGCACAGTAACCACAAACCACTTTCCCATCTGTAAAATGGGCTTAATTGCTTGTTGGCTGCTTCAGAGGGTGAACTTGAAGGCACTTTACAGCCTTATAAAGTTGCTGCGGGCATTGAATACGCTCTGCCCATCAGTTTGAGTTTGGGATTCCTGCTAAAGAAATGGCGACAACTCCAGCCCCTGGCAGCTGGAGGAGACTCCAGGAGGTCATCGTGAGCAGTCCCCTGCCTTTTCCCTCCACGCCAGATCTGCTGTGCCCTCTTCTCCCCCTATAGACATCAGAGTGGAAAGACGCAAGTTCCCCGTGGCCTGTCTCCAGGGCCATGCCCTCCCTGCCCTGGGAGGAAGGCCTTTTGCCTCTAACTCCAGCGTCATCGGTCCTCCCTCAATGCTCCCCATTCAAATCATAGCGCCAGCAGATCCTCCGCTGATCAGGCCAGAAACCTGGAGCCATCCACGCTCCTCTTTCTCCCACCACTACGCGCCCCACAGTCTAATCCGTCCATACGCCCCACTCACTGTGCCTCTGACATTGACTCCGAATCCCCCCACTTTCTTCCCATCTCCCATAACCACCATGGCTCACCTGGATGGCTGCCGGAGCCTCCCCAAGGGTCTCCCTGCTACCACCCATCCCCCCTCAATCCATTCTCCCCAGAGCAGCCAAAGAGATCCCTTGAAGAAATAAATCAGGTTTTGACATCCCTCTTTGTAATACTGAGTGTCAACTTGATTGGACTGAAGGATGCAAAGTACTGTTCTTGGGTGTGTCTGTGAGGTGCTGTCAAAGGAGATTTACATTTGCCGGATGGGTTTGGTGGCTCAGGCCTGTAATCCCACCACTTTGGGAGGCCAAGGTGGGCCGATCACTTGATACTGGGGGTTCAAGACCAGCCTGGCCAACATGGCAAAACCCTGTTTCTACTAAAAATACAAAAAAAAAAAAAAATGAGCTGGGCGTGGTGGTGTGTGCCTGTAATCCCAACTATTGGGGAGGCTGAGCACGAGAATCACTTGAACTCCGGAGGCGGGGATTGCAGTGAGCTGAGAT